CAAGTTTGACAGTGTAAGGTACTATGGTAAACTTAAATTTATTTGCTTTCCCAGAAAGCAAATAAATAACAACATACATGTCAACTTAAATGGATTGTCCGTAAGCGAGGCTGACCCCCMACTGCCCAGGTGTGAGTTGTATGGATTTTTTGCAAAATGTACGGATTTTTGAGTCTTTTTATCAGGTAAACGTCCGAAGAGGTTGACATGTATGGGACATCAAAATACAGACTTGTTATTTAGTTTGTCTACCTGAGAGGCACTACTAGCCCCTCCCCCGTCAGAGTGTCAGAGCAGGACGAGTCAGTGCAACGTCAATCAAATGAGAGAGAGGGTGGGGGYGAATCCTGCATTGGGGGGAGAGAAAATGTTTTATGAGTGGTTTATTTTTCCTGTAATACTTCATTATAGTTTTTTAAGACAAAGCTAACTGAAAGGGGCGCTGAGCAGAGTTACAACCAGAGATTACAAATAATTACTTTTTTTTTCTTCTGCAGTTTGGCGCCCCCTCCAGCAGATGGCGCTCTAGGTGACCGCCTAGTTCTCCTATGACAAGAGGTGGTGGTCAGACTGATGGGTTTGTTTTTGTGTCTTTATCAGGAATCAACACTTATGGCTGGAGGCAGGCTGGAGTTAATCACGTTCTCATATTTGAACTCAATCCCCGAAACAACCTGTCCCATCAACATCTATTTGAGGTCAGAACACCACCACCACACACGTTAACTCCATAAAGAACCATAAAGATTAATTAGCTGAAAATCCTTGTTTTTYTGACATTCAGAATAACAATAGTTTCACTTTGACAAGTAATGGATGAACATTATAAATGAATGTGTGTGTGTTTTAACAGATTGCAGGCCTGCTGGGGGTGCTGTGGTGCGTCAGCCTGCTATCCTGTCTCTTCCATGACCACATCCAGGTYCCAATGCAGGCCAACCCTTTAGCTCTTTATGGCTTTTTCCTCCTGTTCCTCATCAACCCTTTCAAGACCTGCTATTACAAATCTCGCTTTTGGCTGCTCAAACTATTGGTAAAGTCATGTTTACCTAATGAACTGTGTGGTMCAGTCATCAAAATATAAAGACAAAGTTAGGATATTTTTAGTTGATATTTCATATCTGCCTTTATTTTTCYATACAAGTGAACACGATCTAGAACAGGTTTTTTTTTTATTCCTTTAAAAAAAACAGTTACTCCAGATTTTACTGGAATTGAGCTGCAGATGTTTGAACAATGTTGAAGCAAATGTTGCTTGTCATTTTTAGGTAGATGACTGTAACTGTGAGTTATTACGTAGAAAATACTATCAGTTAACTAGATGATTTGTTCTTTTCTTGTCTAAATCTGATTAGAAGGGATGTTTTTTACATGTATTTGTTAAAAGTATTTCCAGGGCTATAACTATAGTTAGGAAGACCTGCCTTGATTTATTGTAGTTCTTTTTCAGCCTGGTTTGGTGTTTGTGAAATTAATACAGAATGCTTTAATAAGGCTTGTTAAAGCCCAGCTTTTTTTTTCTTATCCCAATTTAGTCAGTTCTACCCTAACCCTAACCACCCACCCCCCGCCGGAGGACAGATATTTTGGATACCAGTAGTCACAAAGAGCTTTATCTTAGCTTTATTTTAACACCTAAATTCTGATGTTAAAGTGCCATGGCAATGAAGGTCAATATTTATTTTTGTTTAAAATTGTTTATTCATTTTATTTAAAACCAAAAATTTTATACACATTAAAAACAAAAGATATACACAGCATATATACACAATAAAAAATATATACAAATCAAACTGAAATGAAAGGAGACGGAGGAAGAAGAAAAATCTAATAATTTCTGCCCCTTTTTTCTATAATTAATTTAAAGCAATAATAATTAGGAAAAGAAAAAACAAAAACAAAACAATAACTTCAATTCATTCACAAACAACACCTTAGATATACATTATAGAGTTTCATATTACTTTAACAAACTTATTTTTGTCTTTCTCTTAAACAAACACAATGAACTGGCATTTTTATAATCCCTTTCCAGAGTGTTCCACAATTTTTATTATACAACATAAATTATATGTAAATAACTCAAATAACGGGAGGCTGGGATCAGTTAGTCGTTAGTGTCAGGTTGAAATCCAGGCTGTAGAAGGAAGTGCATCCAACATAAAACATGAGTTCACTCGCTGTGGCAAGCCCCGCAAAAGGAAACAACAACAATGAGCCAAATTAACAAGCAACACTGGTTGTAGGAACGATATCATTTTATATTAAGGTCTCAAAATTACACAGGGCAAAGTAAACTGTATCTACAGAGTTCTAAACAAATAAAATGGAAAAGCTAATTAGCTTTAAGATGAAGGTAAAAACACAGAATAAAACAACACTACTACATTCAAGGTGGCGACAGGTGTGGCGATGTATTCTGTAGTTGCCTGTAGTCCCTGATCAGCTCTTGATCGGTATAAAAGCTTAGGACCAGGTGATAGCAGAGGATGTTTATTGAATTTTCTTGTGACAAAATGAAATAGTTCTAACCTCATTAAGCTTCTCATATTATTATTATTATTATTATTATTATTGGACTGAAGGGTCCAGGTGGTTGTATGAGATGTTTGGTGCTCTTGCCACAGGGGAACTACAACAACTGAAAGCTTGATCATCAGGTTGCAGTTCTTTCTCTGATTTTCTTTTGTTTGTTAGGTTTGATCATTATTTCAAACAAATTTGATTTTCTTTGTACCGTCTAAAAACTGAGAACTTTCAAAGTTTAATAAAATGAGTCTAAACCAGAGATTCTTAACCTATGGGCCGCGGCCCAATTGTGGGCCGTGAGCGCCACCTTGAGGGCCTCAAAAGAACAACAGTTTTTAACTTTGGGCCACAGAGGGCCGTGGGACCACATTGATTTTAAATAAGGTGCAATACACTTTCTCACCACTAGTAGCAGTAGTGCACCACTCAGATGTTTAACAACTTTTTAATATGTAGAAGAAGAACCTTAGAAACCTGCTGAGAATGGAAACTTATTTTAAATGAAAAGTAGAAACAAAAATGAAAGTAACTCATCAAAAAACACCAAAGTTTGTCACTAATATGAAGAGCAGCTTCTGTTTTTACCATGTAATATTTTAAAAGTTCAAAACATTATCAAATACAGTTGCAGATACAACTATATTTTAATATACACTTATATTATATTACACAATAATTTGCTCTCCTGGGGTCTCATTTATAAAGAATTGCGTGGAAACCATAATAAAAGTGAGCGTACGGCCAAAAGGCGGAAATGGCGTACGCAAAAAAATTCAGATTTATAAAACCGTGCGTACGCATGTTTCTGCGCATCTTTCCTTTATAAATCACAGCCGCACGTCAGAGTTTGAGCACGAGGTCCTCCTCAGGTTCTACCCTCTACATGCCCACATTCAACCATAAACAGTCAATGTAAAGTACCTCATGAATGTTAAGATGTATTTAAATCAGTCAGCTGATCAGTGATTGGTTCAGACACACTCCTTCATGTGTCTGGAGGATGACAGGTGCTGACTGACAGCTGCTCACCTGAACACAATGTCTGTAACTGACACAGATTTTCCATCATTTTGTTTAAGAGTAATCTAACCATTTTTATAAAAAACAAATCTCATCTTCAAATTAATTTTCCCTCAGAGCCTGCAGGACGATTAAAAACAATAAAAATTTAATTAAATAAGTCAGATAAAATTAGAAATAAGTCCACCGCTCTTCTCCTCGTCCTCTCCCCCTCCTGCCTGCTCTGTTATCCACAGCAGACACCCCCCCGCCCCACACACCGCGCGCACGTGACAAACATGGACTTTAAACGTGAAGTTTTATAACATCCACACTGGTGAGGTGGATGCGCCCTGCACGTGTATCCAAAGCGTGACTTTTGCTGTCCTGCTGTTCTTGGAGGGGTCTGTGGGTCAGGGAGGTGTCTGTGGGTCAGGGAGGRG